GTTACATATGCCTGATGGGTTCTGGTGGAGTAGCTCTGAATGATAGATAACAGTTCTGTGAATGCCCGTCACAGAGCAAGATTTCCTATATGGGTGATTTACACGCCCCTATAGCATCATCAGAGCTCTTTGAGTCTTGCAGAATAATGAAAGTGACAGCTCTCATTTGTTTAATTCTCTAAGTAAAAAAACAGCTTATGTCATATACAAGTCAAGCAATATTCATATAATCCCTTGAGGAAATATCACACACTTCAGTTGCATGGGGTACCTCTAAGCATGGGCAGGAAATAGAATGTATGTTATTAGAAAAGGTCTAACTATTACCCAGTAAATAAAACAAGGAGAGAAGTGTGACCCTCTTATTCAGTGTAAGCGACTCTGAAATAGAAATAATTAATTCAAACAATCTGTGTGAACAGTACCATCCCTTACGGTTAATGGTAAATAAGAGATTGCCTCTTATGTATACAAAAGGTAGTATGGTTATTAGTTAGACGAGAAAACATCTAAGCAATTCTATGCAGTAACATACACAAAGAACTTCCTCAACAAACGCTGACAAATTTCTGACAAAGAAAAGTTGGTACTTCTGTATTTTAGCATAAATAATACAACAATATTTTTTTACCATCGTTATTAAAAGCTTGTGTGAAAGGAGTGGTATTAAGGGTTCGGTTTTTAACACATTTTGCAAATACATTTTGCTCGGAAGCCAAGAAGATATTAAATGTTTAACAGTATATTTTTGCTGTGCATTTTTAAAAAATACCTTTTAACAATTTACGCAAGAAAACGAAGAAAGATAGTAAAGTGTTTGACAGAGAAAATTTTCTAACAAAAAATGGGGTTTTAAAAAGAACTCCTTAAATGATCAAGCTATTATTTAGGATTATCCTAATACCAATAGAAACAATGGAATTTTACTCTTTTTTTTTTTTTAAATCAAAATAGATAAAGGTTTTAAATCAAAAATATTGTTTGAGATAAAATTATCTAGTTAATAGCTAGGCCTGCTGTAGTTTAAACTCTAAAGTCAACAATTTTTATTCAAAACCATAGGATTTTTAACAGGGATCAAATTGTGGTCCAAATATCTTAAAGGGACAGTATGTACCATTTACCCCCATCTAGAGGTGCACTAAATGAATTACAAAAGCAGTGTGTGAGCTCTACTGCAGAAGCCGTGGAATTATATTTTACTCTTTGTAAGCTTTTTTAAGCCCTGCTTCCAGAGAAATGTTCCTTTGTTTCGTTGTTTACAGTCACCTGCTTGTATGACCTTTGTGAGAAAAAAAACAGCATGTGATAACTATTGCACTAGAGCTCCTCCAGTGAATAATAATAAGCAAACTAGCCATCTCGGCCAGGGGTACAGACTAGTTGCTGGACCACATTTCATCATGCCAAAATAAAATTCCCTGTCATATTGAATTACTGTATCAGAAAGGCTGCAAACTTAATCAGTTTTAAAGGCCTGCTACCTCTTAAATTGTCTTTACATGCTAAACGCTGGGCTTCACCAAAGTACTCCTTTTGTCCCCAAATTACTCCTTTTTTTTTTCCTTACCTCTCACTGGACAACTAATATGGATCCTTAGATAATAATGATCTACGGTTGTTTATCGTTTTAAACTCCTCCATCATTCACAAGACTTTTTTTCATATAAAGGTAAAACACATAACGCTGACTAGTTTGTCCCCTTTTGGCTACTCTGATCAAAACTGGAGATAAAACATGGCATCTCACATTGGGTGCAACACATCCTACATATTTATAAAGAACTAGTTTTAATCTATGAGAACCCTTTCATTTTGATGTGATGTTTTAGACTTTTACAATATATATTATAATTAAAACAATACTTGATTTTTGCTCATAAAAAAACAAATTTACTATAGATGGTTTCCTTTAAAGAAACACTTAACAAATCTTATCTTTTATTTGAAAATTCAAAGCTTAGTATCTGATTCAAATTTCAATGTTGCGTCATTCAAACTTGAGCACATTACAGGTTTTATTTTGTTCCTTAAGAAACTTTGAGGCACACTTTACTATTCCCTAAACCTTCAAAGAATTATCCCTCTATGCAGTGTCAATATTTAGAGTTCATAAAAAAAGATATTTCCTCATATACTGTACCACAAACCAGAAGGTGTGAATCAGTGCCCAACCTCAGTATTGGTATATGAAAATGTTCCCTTCCAGTGCTATATTTTATACATTTTTTTCTAAACACACCAATACCTTTGAACAAAATAATTATTAAGTGCCTCAAGCCAGTTCAGTGCAAAGTCATCTCAACACAATCATGTGAAATGTAACTGGACAGTTGTTCCATGAGAGATCCTCTCTTAAAGAAAATTCCTTATTGTTTTATCAGTGCAGAACCTTGTTTCATGTGTTGTTACTAATGTGACCACTATCATTTATTTGTTTCTGTTGTTGCTCAACTCTATTTTGCTTCTCACAATTCTATGCCTTCAACCTGAGTGATCCAAACTGCAGATACCATCTGTAAACATTACGTCCATAACCCATTATACAATATTAGGTATTTGTCTACCCCTTCATGCAGAAGGCTTGCATGTTGAGTAATACATAGCCGGACTACCGATTAAAAACATATTCAAAATTGAAAGCTGATTAATTTGCTGCTGAAAGAATCATACAATTATGGAATCACACAATCCAAATTGGATAAAAAAATTATGATAAATAACAATTAGATTTTAATAATTATCTAATTGATTATAATGTCTTTATCCATCCAGATAAAGCACTCTATTGTAGTCTAGTACTCGTATCCCTCCTTTTATTTTCCCTGAGGTTTCCAGATTTATACTTGCACTCTGTACACTGTAACTACTTGAAAACTCAGTAAAAATCCTTGTTTTTGACGACTCACTCTAGCCAATAATGATTATTCTTGTATCTTTATAAAGTTCCTTACATTGTAAAGATCTCGCTCTAGTGTAACTGATTTTTGTAAAAAAAAAAAAAAACATTTCACCACTATGATATACACATTTTTTCCTCAAAAAATAGAAATATTTTTCTTTTTGAATAAAGATAATACTAGTATTTTTTTTCCCTTAAGTACTCTCTTGATTTTCTTTTAAGAACTTCTACCTTATATTTTAAATGTACAGTACATGATATTCTTTCTATTTCAAAATCTAGGGGATTCATCTTATTCATTGGTTCTTCCACATACCAGTCTTTGTTACATGGTGATTTCCTTTTGCTGTGCATGGCTGCTTCTAGTGTTTATGTATCCAACGAGCTTCAGTTTTATTCATTCAGGATTGCACCACCGCTCCCACTGTATACTTTGAAAATGCCTGAGAACCAAACTGTTTTACAAGTTTATCACAAAGAAGAGTAAGCCTTAGAAGAAAGAAATATGTGCAGAATTTATACGGAAACTTGCTACACTGTGTCACTGTTTGTGGCATTTTTGCCTTGCAGCATGATGCATGGTCCAGGATCTTTCAGCGTGTAGTTTGAATGTGGATGCATGGTTTTTCTCCCCAAGTACTCCAGCTTTGTCCAAAAATATGAATGTTAGCTCAATTAGCATCTCTAAATTGCTTATACTGTAGGTGTGTGTGTGCATGGTTTAATAGTATGCCTCTGTGTTGCTTTTGATAGACTAGAAACCATCCCAGGGTGTATCTGCCTTTTGACCCTGACGGTTAAGTGGGAGAAGGTTGATGCATTTGGGAAACTATTTATGTGCTGGCGGAAGAGAAGGTGGGATGCCCATGCACAGTTATTCAAGAAATTACTTGGCTTCTTACCTAAATTTCTGGACAAATCGTCCTCTAAATCTTTACACAACATAAGAAATTCAGATGTAAGGTCAACTTTTAACGTTCTGTTTGCAGCTAAACTTTCTGTAAACACTTAGAGTCAGATTTAGCATGTTGATTATATATATATATATAGTTATGTAAAGTGGCAAATCCTAAGAGATCATGGGGGCATTTCAACTAGGATTATGCATTATTCAGTGTGGGATAAATAACAGCGACTTTTGAGACTCAGTCAGCACCTTTCGTTAATTAAAGTCCAACCTAACAGAGAAGTGCAAAAGGTTTAACAACAATGTTAACCTATTTGCCTAAATACTTAGAAAGGTGTTCGTAAAAATATATTAACTAAATATATTATCTCAGGTAGGTTTTAAAAATGGATTATTCCTACAATATGTGCCATTTTATATATCATTAACTTTAAGTGAATAACCCTTAGTCCCAGTTCATGTTCAGAAAGGGTGAATAGGTCAAGTACTTATACACCTCTATCTATCTGACTGCTTCCTATTACCTGACCTTCACAGAATACATTAAGCTGCCTGACTTAACTTGGAAAGTCAATGACTCTGGGGCTTAATAGAAAAGGTTTGTCTTTTAAACTGCTGGATTTTTGCAGTTTAACTGCCCTAAAAATTAAACATTGACATGATAAACAGAAAGTTCTATATGCTGCA